TTTCCTCTCTCACATATTAATATAACCTAGCGAATCGAATGAATACACACGGAACTGAAATGAATAGCATAAGATGAGCAATGCACAATCTACGTGTCTCCCACATATCGCAATTTCGTAGATCCAAGGCGGCAAGAATTTTTCAATGTGCCACAAAATTTAAAGGTAGACCACCGAATTTCGTTTTACCCTGCCTCAGATGCAGACAAAAATGAAATTCATGAATCGTTGCCTGTTATCCATGAAAATGTTTAGAGGCTAGAGCAAAATAATCCGACGTGAGACGTACCTTACAAAACTTTCGTACACCAAAGTACCATCATCATTATCATCATCATCACTCCACAAGTAACATTTTTAAAGCTAGAAATTTCTGTGCGCCTAGCCTAGAAAGATTTTAAATACAGCATTCCGGATTGAGTCTTGCAACGGTGACTTGCTACTAAGCCCTTCAGCACCAAATTGTTTCCAGTTAAGCCAAAATATTCAATCCACCCACCGCTCCCGTAGAACACGTCTCCATCGGTTTCACTAATCTTTATTATGTGACTTTGGAGAATATACATAGGCATGCCTCGACGTTTCTTATACCATACCAAAATATGCATATGCTCTGTTCTCCGGATCCTACAAATCGACCCGCTGATAAACTATAAAAACCCTGACAAATAGAACAAATATGCCCAGAGGTTTTTTTCCTTGACTTATCCCAATAGTATGACAGCCATTTTTCTGACACTAAGCTCCAGACACAGAACAGCTTACCGCCTCATATCATTTTTATAGGCCAAGCATTTCCCTTTAAAGTTGGTAATTCTTTTTCCTGCTCCAACTCTACGATGAGGTTCACTGAACACCCATCCTAAGACCCTCTTTCATCATTACACACTAAACCGTACGGTCAAACGTAAAATATGAAACACTTGTACAGTTTCACTAGGTCGCAGCCGCACGGTAACTCAATTAAGGCCCGTAAGGAAGCGAGTGCAAATTTAAATGTCATGGCCATATTGAAGAAATTACGCAGAGAATGTTTCTGCGATCCCAAAAAGTTACTGCATTCAGTAGCTGCCTTCACCACCTTTTATTGCGAACCCATCGCTGCCCTAAAAATTCAGGCATACTTGGTTTGGGGGATATTTTGGAATCACCATTAGGGTGTCAAAAAACACGGTGACGCTTGCGAAGACTTCACAAAATAGCTTGTTACCCAGTTTCGGTTTTACACAGCGATTGTAGAAGCAAAATAGTGATTTTCTCCTTGGTTCCCCAACAATCCATTCAACTTGGTCAACGATATCAACTACTGTTAACCCGTCATCAATTTTTTTAAAGGAAGTATCAAATCCTCGTATCATTTCCAACGACGGCGAGGCACTTGGCTCAATTTAGATGTTTATTAGAGCTCACCAGCCTTGCATATCCAGTAGCCTTGCCAAGGTTGGAAATCCGGGAACCTGTCATGTCAGGCAGCCTTTATAGCACTACTTCATAAGTGCAGGGTTGAAGAGTGAATTTTTCAGGCAATTCCTGCGTTTGAGTGATATCATTAGTGTGCCCGGCTTAAACACCTGTACGGCAGTCGGATATGCACGCTGATGGGTCATAAATAAGAGCTCAAGTTGAGTCAGGCGCTGCCCACCCTTTAGTGTGCACCCACCGGAAGAAAACCCAGGAAGGAAGGACATTGGTTTCAATGAGAGTGATGTGAGTATGAACAAAGATCTTCGCTTTCATCAGGCACATAACTTCTAAACATAGCTTCGGAAAACCCAACCCATCAAACAATAGTTGGTCGGCGACCAGCTATTCATTATCCAATACATAAACACTCGTTGTAAATCTACGGGGATATTGTTGCTCGAAAGATATCCATCACAACTGACAGTGATTATTACCCGTTTTCGTTTGCTTTCAACTACTACCCATTAGTAGTAGTTGTTTGTCATTCAGAAACAAATGGACGGAAGCAGTTTCCTTGGCAGTGACGTTAAATAACAGCATAATGTCATCTACTGAATTTGACACATCTCATGAATATCGGTGATGATTCTCACGGGTAAATTAATTGGTTGCTTTTATGAGGCCAAAAGCTGAGCGGCCCTCCGGAATTCTTGAACTTCTCGAAATTGCCAAAGCAAATATTCTGAAGACTAAGAGATTGCTGAAAGTGGGATAGAAGAATTGAAAGACTTGTTTGCCGTGTTGAAGAGGAATTTTTCAGGCAATTCCTGCGTTTGAGTGATATCATTAGTGTGCCCGGCTTAAACACCTGTACGGCAGTCGGATATGCACGCTGATGGGTCATAAATAAGAGCTCAAGTTGAGTCAGGCGCTGCCCACCCTTTAGTGTGCACCCACCGGAAGAAAACCCAGGAAGGAAGGACATTGGTTTCAATGAGAGTGATGTGAGTATGAACAAAGATCTTCGCTTTCATCAGGCACATAACTTCTAAACATAGCTTCGGAAAACCCAACCCATCAAACAATAGTTGGTCGGCGACCAGCTATTCATTATCCAATACATAAACACTCGTTGTAAATCTACGGGGATATTGTTGCTCGAAAGATATCCATCACAACTGACAGTGATTATTACCCGTTTTCGTTTGCTTTCAACTACTACCCATTAGTAGTAGTTGTTTGTCATTCAGAAACAAATGGACGGAAGCAGTTTCCTTGGCAGTGACGTTAAATAACAGCATAATGTCATCTACTGAATTTGACACATCTCATGAATATCGGTGATGATTCTCACGGGTAAATTAATTGGTTGCTTTTATGAGGCCAAAAGCTGAGCGGCCCTCCGGAATTCTTGAACTTCTCGAAATTGCCAAAGCAAATATTCTGAAGACTAAGAGATTGCTGAAAGTGGGATAGAAGAATTGAAAGACTTGTTTGCCGTGAATAGTATAGGAATAGACCGACTTTATACTCACGTACAACGCGGCGATTACTCTGCACTTGTGCTTTTCATTGGCAGTAGGATGGCTGCCTACCAAAACGGTTCTGCGGCTAAATTATTACTATGATTAGTATGAAAATTGGTATTTTATCACTGTGGAATTCAGTAGAACCTCTTCAACTCTAGCGCTGTAATGGTTTGGTCGGTAAACCCAAGTGAATATCGCCACGCAAATTGAATATGTTTGGGAAAATGACACAG